ACAAAAATTGGAATGATGCATCTACAAGCCACGGATGATGAAGGATTGCCAGAGCCACCAGAAGCTGGGAGAGCAGCCTGGAACATTTTCCCTCATGGCCTCAGAAGGACCCAGCCCTGCCAAAACCTTGATCTCGGGCTTTTGGACTCCAGAAGTAGGAGAAAATTAATTTCTGCTGTTTTAAGCCACCCTATTTGTGGTCATTTGTTACAGCTGCCCCAGGAAACTAAGACAGCATCAAGTAGTTCTGTTTGAGGTTTGGAAAGTAGAGCGTGTAATGGAAAGAGCCAGCTCCCAGCAGCTCCACCAGGCGTGACCAAGGGTCCTCCCCACTGGCCACATAGCATGCTCTAGATCCACAGAATGGGGGGCTGAAAGGACAGAAATGTATTCTTTCACAGTTCTGGAGGCCAGAAGTCTGAGATCAGGGTGTCAGTAGGCCTTGCTCCCTCTGAAGATGCCAGGGGAGGATCTGTTCCAGGCCTTTCTCTGAGCTTCTGTTGCTTCCTTGGCATGTGGCAGCATTTTCCAATGTTCCCTGGCATTCTCCCTGTGTGCATATCTGTGTCTACAGCTCCTCTTTTAGAAGGACACAAGCCATACTGCATTAGGTCTACCCTATTCCAGTATCATTTTTTTTTCTTTTTTTTGATTTAATAAAGTTTTATTTTTCAAAATGTACAGCTGGTGGGACCTTTTGTTCACACATCTTCTCCAACAGCTGGGGCATCCCCACCTTTGGTGTTTCTGGTGTAAATTACTTGAGCTCTGTGCTTTGAAACTAGTTTAATTAAAGTCCTTTACTGAGGAGCTCCTGAAGGGCTGCCCTGGCCAAGGAGCCGCGGATCTTCAGTCTCTCAGAGATAACAGCTGGGGTTATAAGCTTATAGTTGGGAACTTCCTTAAAGAGATTGTCATATGTTGCTTTGTCATACAAGACTAGGTTATTGAGCTTGTCCCGAACTTTGCCTTTGGACCACTTCTTCTTTTTGGCCTTGCCCCCGGATTTGTTCACTGGGTCTTTGTCTTTCTTGGCCAACTTTCCAGCATCTTTCTTCTTTTTGTCATCCTTGGGTGGCATGGCGAGATTCAGAGCACCCCAGTATCATTTCATCTTAATTAATCCCACATGCAATGACCCTGTTTCCAAAGATAGTCCCATTCCCCCCAGCTGGTTTTGCCCAGTGGTTAGAGTGTCAGCCCTCAGACTGAAGGCTCCTGGGTTTGATTCTTGCCAAGGGCACATACCTTGGTTGCAGGCTCAATCCCTGGCCCCGGTTGGGGTGCATGCAGGAGGCAACCAATCAATGTTTCTCTCTCTCTCCCACTCTCTCTGAAAAGACACACACACACACACTGATACAGACTGATACACACATGCACACATATACACACACACACATGCTCAGACCAGAACCCACCACTTTCTACCTGAGGGCAAAGTCAAGGTCCCCCACCCTTGGCAGGACAACCTGAGACAGGATCTCAGTGCCTTCCAAAGGGTCCAGAGGGGCTGAGCCCAGACTTCCCATAGCTGTGACCAGTTCATTTACAACCCCTACTGCTCCTGCCCTTCACCCTCCAGATAAACCTCTTTCCCTCAATCTCTGTCTTTGGGCCAAAACGTCATGTTGCAATGGAGTGAATGCAATAGCCAATCGGAGGATCCAGCTGCCTTCCTCTATGAAGTCAAATTAATTGGAGATTTGCAAAATGGAAACTATGCCACTAGTCGTTTTTTTTGTTTGTTTTTTAATATGTTTTTTATTGATTTCAGAGAGGGGAAGGGAAAGATAGAAACATCTACCAGCTGCCTCCTGCATACTCCCTACGGGTGATTGAGCCTGAAACCCAGGCACGTGCCCTGACCAGAAATCGAACGAGTGACCTCCAGGTGCATGGGGTGATGCTCAGCCAACTGAGCCACAACAGCCAGACTACTAGTCTTTTTTTTCAACCGTGGGTTTTAAATGTTAAAATATAATGAACTTATTTTTAAATAACATTAACAAATGTTTTTAAATGTCCTATCTTGAATCCTAACATAATAAATGTTAGTATTTGACTGGGAAAGGCAGGAAGGACCTTCCCCTAGAGCTTTCAGAGGGAGTGTGACACCTTGATTCACGACATCTGGTCTCCAGAATGTGAAAGCATGAATTCTTTGTTAAAGCTGCCCAGTTTGGGCCCTAGCCAGTTTGGCTTAGTGGTTAGAGCATCGGCCCTTGAACTGAAGGGTCTCTGGTTCCACTTCAGTCAAGGGCATGTACCTCGGTTGCAGGCTCAATCCCTGCCCCCAGTTGAGGTGCCTGTGGGAGGCAACCAATCGATGTGTCTCTCACATCTATGTTTCTCTCTCTCTCCCCCTTCCACTCTCTCTGAAAAAGCAATAGAAAAAATATCCTCGGGTGAGGGTTAAAAAAAAAGCCACCCAGTTTGGGATCCTCTGTTACACTGCCCCAGGCACTAATACAGGCCCCACCATTCACACTGTGGACCTTCCTGCTGCCTTGGCCCCAGGCTCTGGGTCTGGGTTGATGGAAGCATTGAAAATCAAATCACCCCTCCCACACTGGAAATTATCCATCAGGACTGATGCTTTATGTAACTAGTATATGATCCTCCAATCAGATTTAAAAACAAAAAAAGAACAAGAAAAAACCTATATCAATTTTTCCAACTCAGTTGCTGCTCTTAATTTGCACTAACAATTTTGCCAGGCCAAATTTTGCAGCTAAAGCAGGGGTCTCACCCAAGGCAATCCTGCCCCCTAGGGGACACTGGGAGATGTCTGGGACATCTATGGTTGTCATGACTGAGGATGCTCCTTGAGTGGGTAGGGCCAGAGATGCTGCTCCACACCACACAATGCCCAGCTGGGTCCCACAGAGAATGACCCAGCCCCAGTAGCCAAGGAGGGACCTGAACTAAAAGAAGGCTCACAAGGCCCTGGCTGGCATGGCTAAGTGGTTAGAGCATTGGCCCGCATACCAAAGGGTCACAGGTTCCATTCCTGGTCAAGAGCACATACATGGGTTGTAGGTTCTCTCTCTCCCTCCTTCCCTCCCTGCCTTCCCCTCTCTCTAAAAATCAATGGAAAAAATGTCCTTGGGGGAGGATTAACAACAACAAAAAAGAAGGCTCACAAGAAGCTGGCAACTAGAAACTAACCACTAGTAGCAAGACCTCCTGGTCCATCAGCCTCCTGCTGCTAGAAGTGACCTATCCGCACTCCTGACCAGAGTTAGCACCTCCCTCTGGATCCTAAGTAGTCTTCTCAGCCCACCCCTCCCCCAGGTATCCCCAAGCCCCCGCATCCTGCCCTCACATGAGGTACCGTTGGGCTATGTGCCCACAGCTCCTGTCCTGTCCCAGGGACACTGTCCCCCACTACCCAGCCCCTCGTCGTAGCCTTGTCAGGGTCTGGGAGTCAGCATTTGCTCCAGCCCTGGGATGCCTTCTACTTTCCTCCTGCTTCAAAGTCAGCGGTTCCCCTGCTGGTACCTACACACCCTGGAACCTGTGAATGGGACTTTACTTGGAAACGGTCTTTGCAGATGTAATTAAGAATCTCGAGATGAGATCATCCTGGATTAGGGAGGCCCCAAATATAATGATGGTGTCCTTGTAAGAGACAGAGACACAAATAGACATGGCTGGATGAAGATGGTGACAGAGACTGGGGTGATGCAGACCCAATACTAGGGACGCTGGAGCCCCCAGTAGCTGGAAGAGGCAGGAAAGACCCTCCCCTGGAGCCTCCAGAAGGAGCTCAGCCCTGTGACAGCTTGGGTTTGGACTTCTGGTCCCACAATGTGAGAGGATAAATCCCTGCAGTTTAAGCCACCCATCTGTAGTTCTGTCACTGCCCCCTTTGCCAACGGCCCCTTCTCAGCTGTCCTCGGTCCTCTCAACTCCACCATGTCCATTGTCCTTACATGTCTCCAGGCTGGTGCCCTCCACCTCCTCGGCCCCCCACCTGTTTCTCACTTTCCCAGTTTGTTGTTTCCCTGCTTTACACCATCACCAAGCCCACCTCCTACCCAGCTAGGGGACACCTGCTCCTCACCCTCAAGGCATGTCCACCCAACCCATGTTTCATATACCACTGGGAGTGCCCCTAAGGCACACTGCTCCTCAATCCCCATCTCTTCACTTCCTCACATTTCCTATTACCAGAGTCCTTAGTGTCCTTGGTTCATAGACGCATCACCCCCAATCTCTGCCTCCATCTTCACAGGTGCCTCCCTATGTCTGTGTCCAATGTATCCTTTATATAAGGACACCAGTTGACTTGGATTAGGGCTACCCTGCTCCGGTATGATTTCACCCTAACTTTACACCTGCAAAGACCCTATTTTCCAAATAAGGTTCCATTCTGAGGTCCCAGCGGTCAGGACTTCCACACATGAATTTGGAGGGATACTGTCCGGTTCCTCCCTGTAGGTCTAGTTTCCTTCTCATGGTGGCAAAGTGTCCTATGGAATAACAGATTGCCACCCTCTACCCTGTGTCTGCATGTGGGTGTCCACTCTGCCACCAGCAGGCCCCTGCAAGCCCTGGGGTTGTGGGGAAGTCCTCCAGCTGGGCCTCTGTAAGACAGGGTCACTTCTATTCCAGCTACACCCACCATTATTTTTCCTTTATGGGAAGCAAACTGTCTTTTCATTTCCTGTGAATTTCCTTTTTCAAACGAAAATGGTTGAACATGAAGAAAAGTTGATTTAAAAGAAAAACCTGAAGGAAACTACATCATGGTGGTGTGTGGACATTACGAGGGCAAAGATGCCTGGAGTGCATGGTGCTAGGCCGAACTGGGCTCCATCCTTGGTGTACAGGGAGGTTCGGTGCCTGTACGGAAGGGGCTGCCCATGAATGAAACCTGGGTCCAGGTGCACAGGCTGGCCCTGGTCTTATTCTGCCGGAGGCTGTACATACTGGGGAACTTCACACACACATACACACACACACACACATGCGCACGCCACAAACAGGCTTGGTCTGCTGCAGAAAAGATGTATTTCCAGAATATTTTCAAGTAACAAAAACTACTACAAAATAAAGTAACATAATCAGAAAAACAAAACAACTACTACAATGTAACAAAGGTACGAAGTACAGTGGAGCAAGGGGTGGGGTGCTCATGTGTGTTCATCCTGCACCTCATTAACTGGCTCTGTTACTAACAGTGTCCCAGTCACAGTGAGATTCAGTCCACAATTTGCGCAGTGTGGGCCCTCTGTCAGTCACAGAAAGCTGGGTTGCGGATGTTACCAAGAACCTGGGAAACCCGAGGCTTTTGTTTTCTGTCCAGACCTCAACCTTCAGGGAACCAGACCCGGGGTACTTTCTTAGGGACTTTGGCCACCTTTGGACACCATGTGGCATTCAGCACAAGAAACTAGAGCAAGCAAACACAAGTGTGAGAACACACTCTGGCCATTCTGGAGCTTCTGGAGAGGCTGGCAGCCCAGTGGAGCATAGTGTGACAGGGATGGGTCCCTGTCCTGCCCCAAGAGACAGGCAGTTAGGAGCGGAGGGGCAGCATTACTGGAAGCCTGTACAACAGGGGCTGAGAGGCCATCAGGACACCTCCCTCTGCCCATCTGTTAACAAAGGTGCTGTGACGATGCCGACACGACATCCGGTTACTCCATCTCAAAAGGAGCTAGAAGAATCGAGGGGAGAAAAGAAGTGACGGTGTTTAGATTCCTCAGTAAGGCACAGAGATTTGTCACATCTTGTTTCTTCCTAAAAGGCTGAGACCGTTCTGCTTCCACACATCCAGAAAATGGCGATGTGAATCACAGCCTGAGTGGCCGGCCCAGTACTCACACCTTTAGATGGTGACCTCGGGGCCATACACACTTGGATGAGATGCACTTGTTTTCCTGTTTGCATGGCGGGGAGAGAGGTCGATGCCCCCACCAAAGGATTCTGTCCCAGGTTTCAGATCTAGATGAACATCCTACTGAGGGTCCCTGCATGGGTGCAACGAGCCCAGGCATTGGGGTTCTAACACTCATTATGGGAGAAGAGAGCATCTCTAGGGGAGAGCGACCGTGGACAGGAAGGCTGGAAGCAAGCTGGCCAATGGCCCTGAACAGCGGCTGAGGACCCAGTGCAGAGCAACTAGGACAGATGGACAAGGAGAAGCTGAGATCATGGCACTAAGGCAGTGAACTACCTCTGGTCATCCCCATGAGCCCCTGGCTGCAGATAGATGAACTCAAGAGGACAAAAATATTGAGTACCTAGCTATACATCAAGTGCCTGCATCACCAGCAGGGAAGGGGACGCTGGTGTTGAGAAGGCCTCCCTCTTCCTGAGCACTGGGCAAAGGTGATGGCCCTGACAGGGGGTGGGGTGGATCTGAGGGGCCTGTCTTAGTGTCACCAATCTGGAAGGGAGGGCAGCCAGGCTGCTTCTGACTCCCTGGGGAGTCAACCCTCTGAGACCCCAAGGGGAGACAGTGTAGCTGCTACAGTGGACATTACATGACCAAAAGTTTTCAGGAGCAAGAGGGGTATTCTTCTGCCAACTGGTGGGGACTGCCAGCTTCTGGGCAGTGTTTACAAGGACCTCTGCTCTTGGGTGTGAGATGAGCATGGGCATGGGTCCCTGAGAGCTGCTGGGGTCTGCAGTCCCACCTGGGGGAGCCCCTGGTAGCCACTAATCCCTGCTGCCATCCTGGCTGGGGGAGGGGCCTACCTGCCACCTGGGAGGGACAGGGTACAGAAGCTTAGGGCCTCACTGGACCCAGCACAGCTGCAGGAGTGGACGGGGAGGAGGAGGGCTGGCAGTGGCAGACAAGTGGCAAGGCCAGTCAGCTCCCTCTAAGGCCACTGGTTGCCACCAGCTGGATAGGTGGGCACAGTGGGGTACTCAGGCAGGCTGTTCCCTGAGAAGTTGTTGAACTGGGCCTCTCGAGACAGTGGGTTCCGCCAACTGCCATCGTTCCACTCTGACTGTGCCTTCTGGAAGCTTCCACCAGTTCCCCGGTAGATCCTGTGTACCTGCAGGATAGAGGGTAGTAGCAGAGGACAGAGACCAGTACTTGTGTGAGTGACATGGAGGCTGCCTGCAGTTAAGGTTGTGCTTTTCTTTTATCTCTTTTTTGATTAATCCTCAACCGAGGCTATTTTTCCCATGGCCTTTCAGAAAAAGTGGAAGGGAGGGAGGGAGGGAGAGACAGAGAAACATCGACTGGTTGTGTCCCACTGGTTGCCTCCAGCAAACCCGCACATGCCCTAACAGGGCGGCGAGCGAACCCGCAACCCAGGTATGTGCCCTTGACTGGAAATTGAACCGAGATGCTGGGGTCCTCTCAGAATGGAGATGCGCACAAGAAACTTGTATGACAATTACTTGCTGGCCTCCTGACATGGAAGCATCAGGCCCTAGACAGTGCACGCTGCAGACAGCAATCCCTGGGTGTTAGTAGTGATCTCAGAAGAGACCCCCTGGGAACAGACCACTGACTCCTCACCATCCAAAAAAGCTGTGCTAACCTACCCCAGCTGTGCCACTGGGAACACCCAGCTATACTATTTCTAGAAATCCTGGCAAATTCAATAACCAAGAAAATGGCACTTTGTTTTAGCACGAGGCTCTTAACTACTAGAGAAAGTGAAATTTTGTCATTTTTCCATGGGAATTATCTTTCTTTTGTGCAACTATCTTCCCAACCTGGAATGGCCCTGGAGAACCTGACAGATGGAATCATCTGTATCTTTGTTTTGGGGGAACTCCTTTGTGCAACTATCTTCCCAACCTGGAATGGCCCTGGAGAACCTGACAGATGGAATCATCTGTATCTTTGTTTTGGGGGAACTCACTCTGCTTTGAGCCCATAAACTCTCTCTCTCACACCGTGCAGGTATTTTTCCCGGCTCGTATTTCTTGTTTTATGTTTGCTGCTGAGCAAAAGTTCCTGGTGGACATGTCCTCTGTTTCCCTTGCATTTCTCCCTGGAATCTCATCAAGATTCATGTGATTGAGCATCAACCCATGAACCAGGAGGTCACAGTTTGATTCCCGGTCAGGGCACATACCTGGGTTGCAGGCTCTATCCCCAGTAGAGAGGAATGCAAGAGGCAGCCGATTTATGTTTCTATCACTCTCCCCCCTCCCTTCCTCTCTCTGAAATTAATAAAAACATATAAAAAAACCCCACAAAGATTCATCTGTGGTATTTCTATGTATGTTCATGATTAGTGTTGATTTTCCCCCTTCAGCTCGTCCATATAGCTGAAAGGATGTTGTGCTGCAAAATGGGGGAGCCAAGCATTCCTTTTCCTCGCTGACAGCCAAGTGAACCGATTAAACAGTCCAGCCTTGAAGCATGCTAGAACAGCTAGAACCATGTAGCAAGGAGGCTGAGAGGGAATCCAAACCCAGCTTTAAAAATTATAGTGAGGCATTTCTCATACAAAATGTCTGGTGAAGCCACAGAAACCATCCCTGCTACAGAGCAAGAGTTGCCACAGCCCCAGGCTCAGACAGGGTCTGAAACAGAATCTGACAGTGATGAATCAGTACCACAGCTCAAGGAACAAGATTCCACACAGGCAACCATACAACAAGCCCAGCTGGCAGCAGTAGCAGCTGAAAACGATGAAAAACCAGTCCGTAAAGCAAAACAGAGCCGGAGTAAAAAGAAGGTATGGAAGGCTATGTCCAAACTGGGTCTTCGACAGGTTGCAGGGGTTACTAGGGTCACTATCTGGAAATCTAAGAATCCTCTGTCTTAACAAAACCAGATGTCTACTAGAGCCCAGCCTCAGATACCTACATAGTTTTTGGGGAAGCCAAGAATGAGGATTTATCTCAGCAAGCACAGCTAGCAGCTGCTGAGAAATTCAAAGTTCAAGGTAAAGCTGTCTCAAATATACAAGAAAACACACAGACTCCAACTGTACAAGAGGAGAGTGAAGAGGAAGAGGATGATGAAACAGGTGTGGAAGTTAAGGACATAGAACTGGTCATGTAACAAGCAAATGTGTCAAGAGCAAAGGCAGTGAGAGCCCTGAAGAACAACAGTAATGGTATTGTAAATGCTATTATGGAATTAACGACGTAACCATCTAAAAAGAAGGACCCCCTTTTTTTTGGCGTTTCAAAGAGTTACTGCAGCTTGGTTTGAAATTTGTACTGTTTCTTCTATCATTAATAAAGCTATGGCTTCTTGTGGGATAAAAAAAAATTGTGGTGAACCCTAGCTGGTTTGGCTTAGTTAGACCGTAAGCCCACGGACTGAAGGATCCCGGGTTTGATTCTGGCCAAGGGCACATACCTCAGTTGCAGGCTTGATCCCTGGCCCTAGTTGGGGCACATGCAGGAGGCAACCAATCGATATGTCTCTCTCACATTGATATTTTTCTCTCTCTCTCCCCCTTCCACTCTCTCTGAAAAGCAATGGAAAAAATATCCTCAGGTGAGGATCAAAAAAATAAAAATAAATAAAATCAGAAACGTGGTGATCCTGCAGCCGAGCATGTGGCAGGCCTTCCTGTGCACATAGAACAGAGGGCCACCTCCAGAAGGGCTGGAGCGGATACACCACCAACCTTGTTGTTACCTGTTGGCCTTCACGTAGTTCTGGGACAACCTTGGAGTGCTAATGCCTCCAGGACAGTGAAAATGTTTCTCAATGGAAGTTCCCACATATCGGGAGTGGTGCAATCTAGGGGAGTTTTCCGCAGTGCTGCAGAGTCAATGTGAGCCACCAGCCTGATGCGGCCACTGAGCACGTGGGATGAGCTGGGCACAATGGACACACTGAATATTTAGTTTTATTTCATTTTACTTAATTTGAATTTAACTACAAATGGCAACAGGTAGCCAGTGTGGACAGACTGAGCAGTGTGGATGACACTTTGGGACTTGTGTGTGCTGGGGGCATCCCCAAAGGTAGGTGTAGTTATCAGAAGCCCACACTGTGCCATTTCCCCAAGCCCTTCCTCCTTGGAAGGCCACTGTAGGCGGGACAGGTAGGGTCTTGGCATGAACAGTTCAGGGTCCAGACCCTGAGAGGGACTTCCCTGCTGATGGAAATCACGTCAATTCCCAGACACTGTCTCTTACTCCTGAAACGGGGTAAGTGGAGTTCCCAGGGCCAGGAGGGTTGGGTGACAGGATGCATGGGAAGAAGCCAGACATCTCAGTACCTAGAGGACTTACCTTCATGATCACAACGGCCATCATGGCAGCTGACATTGTGAACATGATGGCCGGAAGCAGCATGACCACGGCGGCCCCAACGCTGGTCTGGAAGAACCCGATCGCTGCCAGCCAACCACTACAAGGTGTAAGAGAGAGAGTGGGTACCAGCACATCTGCTGGATAAGAGAACTGTAACTGTGGATAGAATAAGCTCCTGACATTCTCAGAACAATCAACCAAGAGACCAACCACATTAAGGCACTCCCGGGCAGTACACGTGTGAAGAGAGCCACCCCAGATGCCTCCTACCTAACACTGGGCGCCAAAGACACCACCTGTGGTCTGTGAGTAACAGCCCCAATGGCGCCCGTGTCCTGGTCCTGGGAACTGTCTACACGTCACCTCACATGGTAAAGGGACTTTGCAGGTCACATTAAGTTAAGGCTATGAAATGGGGATGATCCTGGATTACCAAGGGGGCTCAGTGTCATCACAGGGTCCTCACAAGAGAGAGGCAGAAAGGACAGTCAGAACGATGAGAGAGGCTGTACTGCTGGCTGTGAAAACAGAGGAAGGAGCCATGAGCCAGGGATGCAGCACCTCTAAAAGCTAGAAAAGGCAGGAAATGATTCTCCCCTGGAGCCTCTAAAAGGAAAAGCCCTGCCCACACCTGAGTGTAGCCTTATGAGACCCGTGTTGGACTCCCCAGAACTGGAAATGAGAAATCTGTTTCATTTTAAGTCACTAAGTTACAAGTAATTTGTTACAGCAGCCATGGAAACGTAGTACAATGCCCTAAAATCAAGCAAGCAGAAGAAGGGATCTCTCTCTAGATGGTGGGGTCACAGGTGGCTGTTCTACAAACTCTTCCTCCTAGGACAACATGCTGATCCATGCCTACCAACCTCTCCTCTGTGGCTAGACCAAGCACTCACAGCATAGAATGGGTGGAGCCTCCACACACAGGTGCTTGGTACCAGCGTGGAGCAGACACCCTGCCCCTCAACCCAGCACCTCCTTGGAGTATTTACAAGAGCAGGAAGCAAAGGTTTGTTCTCCATCAGTGGTCAGAAATTGGGGTCTATGTTATAGTCTCATCCTGCACTGACACATGTGTTCACTCACACGTCTATAGTTAACACGCATCACAGCAGCCACGTTCACTGACTTACCAAGCACCCCATCCTGAGAAGCCAACAGCCTGGATGACGGTCAGGACAAACTGGGCTCCGAAGATAAAGAAAAACGCCATGAAATTGAAGGAACTGTCGGCCCTGAAGAGTGAGAGGAATGAACATTACTGCTGCCCCAGCCTCTCAGTGATGATGACCCAGAGGAGGACGTGAGGCAGGAACAGCAACACAGGAATGTTCTCCCTTCTTCAGGTACGACAAATGCGTCTATGTGCATGAATTACCGCACACATGCTCACACCAGGTTCTGAATATGAGGGGCCTAAACACTGCCCCTCTCAGAAGAGGCTGCACTGATGGGTTCCTTACTGAAAAGGAATCTAAGACCTTCTCCTCCCTCCTAAGAACGGGATTTAGGGACCATCTAGGGGCAAACATGGCACATATCTGAGTAGCAGGGAGCTGGCTGGGGGTGAATGTTCACAGCAGCAGGTTACATCCAAAAGGGCTGGGGAGGAAATGGGGGTGACTGCTAAGGGAGACAGGGCTTCTTCTGGAATAGTGAAAATGTTCTGGAATTGGAGGTGATGGGTATACAACCTCGTGAAGACTCTAGAAACGCTCAAATGTTAGGAAGATGAGTTGTGTGGAATGTGAAGTATAACTCAATAGAGTTATTAAAAGACAACACAACAAACACCTGTGCATTGTAGCGTGCAAATCCTGATACAAGCTGTCATCTGAATTGGACCAAAGAGAGGGAGGCTTACTAGCACCTGGGCTAGGGCTACAAGTGCAGAGCAGGCACAGGTCCCAAATGCAGGAATCAGCACATGGAGATCCTGGCTACGCAGTTTTGAGCCCACTGCCAGCACAGACGCCCCAGGGCCCCATGAGGGCATGGCCAGGCCCTCACTTACCGGAAGGCCTTGTAAGCGGGCCGGAACCAGCACACGTAGCTACAGGGGGAGAAGAACAGCAGCCAGACCAGGGCCAGGCCAAAGTTGGCTCCTGAGCCGCCTCCAATCCACCAGGCCAGGCAGGCGACGAGGTTGACCCCCAGCGTAGCGCAGTAGACTGGATAGGGGAGGCAAGGAGGCTTGAGCCAGGGTTTGGGGTTTAGGGCACATGATACTTCCACCCCTCTGTTCAGGGACCATGGGCCCTGACCATGGGCCAGAGAAGGCTCAGGGAGAAAGAGATTCCAGCTCAGCTCCATCCACCACTCCAGGACAGAATTTTACCAGAAATGAGATTTACTACAAAAAAACCTCAGGCTCTCCCAGCCCGAGGATAGGGCGGCTTCATGACCTGGGCCTGGCCTGGGTCTCTGGAGTGGTGCAGAAATGCTACTCCCACCCCTACCCCTTCCCACCCCACCACTCACACTGCCACAGCCGGTAGATCCTCTTTACTAGGACCTGATGCTCAATGGGAATCTCGTCGGAGAAGTTCTGGTAGAAACAAGGCTTCAGAGGGATGAACTTGGGCAGCGGTGGGAAGTTGTTCTCCTTTTCTATGGGGACACAGAGCACCGTGGGACTATGCCACACTGGGGGCAGCACAGTAAAGGCTCCAAAGATGTCCCCATCCTGGGACCTATAGACATGTTGCCTCACATGGCAGAGAGACTTTGTGATGGATTAAATCAAAGCCCCTAGGATGGAGATGACCCTGGATTCCCGGGGG